CTCCCAGAGTTCATCAAGTTTTTTTGGATTCATCTTCAAAGCCTTCTCCATCTTAGCCCAGACATGCTCAATAACGTTCATGTCTGGTGACTGGGCTGGCCAGTCCTGGAGCACCTTGAACTTCTTTGCTTTCAGGAACTTTGATGTGGAGGCAGAAGTATGAGAAGGAGCGCTATTCTTCTGTGGTTTGCAATGTAATGGGCAGCACAAATGTCTTGATACCTCAGGCTGTTGATGTTGCCATCCACTCTGCAAATCTCTAGGAACGCCCCCCATACTGAATGTAACCCCAAACCATGTTTTTTTTTTTCTTCACCAAACTTGACTGATTTCTCTCAGAATCTTGGGTCCATGTGGATTCCATCAGGTCTTCTGCAGTATTTGTGTTGATTGGGATACAGTTCAACAGATGATTCATTGGGAAAATCTTCTGGCACTTTACCAAATGATCAACTAGAAGTCAAGTTATTATTTGCTGCTCTTACAACTGGGACTGACGACAAGACTTCAGTCAGGTAGTGTACAGAATATTTAACTAGATTTTTTCAAAATACTAGTATTCTTAAAGTGCAATTTAAAGGCTTAACTAGGTTAATCATGTTTATTAGGCAAGTTAGGATATTTAGGTAGATGATTGTATCACAGTGGTTTGTTCTGTAAAAAAATCTTTAGAAGAAGAAATATTTAAGGAAAATTGTAAAAAAATAAATAAATAAAAAAAAAGTATAAAATTATAATAAAATCACAGGAGGACTAATAATTGACTTCAACTGTATGTGAATGGTTCAAAAGAGTGATCTGCTCAGACGTCACCCAGGACTATTTATCTGAGGCTGTGGATCACAGGTAAAAATGTAGCAAAAAAAAGGTTCAGTTTCTTGAACAGACTGATGGTTTCACTATATGAAACCGCAATTTATCATCAGGACCCACAGGTACTAAATTGTTTTTCCTGTGTCTTTTTTCCTGTATTTGTTTTTGTCACTGTTTTGTTTGTTTCTCATATAGACGGTAGCTGTTAAAATGCATCACAAATCACCAGACACCACAGTATTAGCAAAAAAATCTTCTATTAATAAACTACTGTAAAAATCACCTACATCATGAGCATTACTAAATTAAACAAATTTTCATTTTTACTACTACACCACTTAAATGTTTACTTTACTTACACATTTTTACATAGTTAACATAACAGACAGCCTAATGACACCAAGGACACTTCATTTGTAAGACCCATTTGCTGATGGGTAAATGAGGCACAGGTTCAGGTTAATGACTGGAATGATGGCCCAAGAAAAGGCCTGCAATCTCCAGCCATTAGTGGCCATCTCCTACTGTGCTCACAATTGGGCTTAATGCTGATGCAGGGCATCTGAGACCATTAGCACTCAGTAACTGCAAGTTAAACAAGGCAGCCTGGTGTCCTCTCAATCACCTCTACAAGAAACTGACACAAAAGGACAAGTTACATCTGAGCTCTGTGTCTATGGGAATATGAGGCCTCATCCACACAGAGATGTGTTTTGCTCTATATGCAGCAATTCTGTATCAAATAGGCTGGGGTGGATGTAGCCTGATTCTTCAGCATGGGCTCGGGCCAGATTAGTTACTTATATTAACTTGGGATATCTGGAATTTTCAGGAGCCAAAATACCAAACATAAGAGCCTATGCTGCACTGCAGTGCCCAGCAGTGTTCACCCTGCTAGTTTCACACTCCTTTTAACCATAGTCACTATGTGCTGTAACGTGGCTTCCACACCAGACACAGAAAGAGCCGCACTATGAAACCCATTTATTTAAATGTATTGTGCTATGGAAGCATGCTTTCTAACTACTGAGAGATTTCAGGTGCTGTCTAGGCTTTCACTGACGTTCTACACCTCCCTTTCTTCATGTGTTCAATACTTTTTTCTTGTGTCATTTCTTTTTATTATACATAATTTCATTTGTAAACTATGTCGTTTTTGTTTTCTTTGCATATGGATTTCTTTGGTGGTTACCAACGTCTGACAAAACTTTAAATTCAACAGCACCTTTAGAAATGTGTTCTGAGAATAATGATGTCGTGTTCAATACTTATTTCCCCTGCTGTGTATATAAAGCTAATGATGATTTTATTCCTGACAGCTGCAAAAAATAAATAAATAAATAAATAAATAAATATACAGGACTGGTTCAATATTTACTTTTAATAGTATGTGACAGTCATTAAAATATATTAGGAAATCTAGGTTGCAGTAGTAGTTCTGGTCATGTGACCGATATCATAAATCGTATTGATTGAGCAGATATAGATAATCAATACCTCTATATTTGGAAGCCAATTACCAATATGGACTGAACTAACAAATGCAGAAGACAACTATTTTAGAAAGCAAGAAAACTGCATGAAAGCATTAAAATCTTTCTTTTTTAGATTCTATTTACAGTAAAAAAATAAAATAAAATAAAAATTCCACATGGCCAGCATGTTGTATTTCCAACATAACCTCAAACTTGTGCCACATCATGTGAATTGCAGCAGTCAAACCCCTCAACCGGTGCTGCTAATTCATCATTCATCAGCCAATAATTTATTTTCATATCAGGGCAATAACAAAAATATGAAAGCATTTATCGGCCGATGCCAATATGGTCACAAATATAATTACATATATTACTAACGTCAATCAAATGAACACATTCATCACACCAAATTATGCACAGGAAAATTGTGAATGGCTCTTTAGTGTGACTAATAGTGGTGATTATGAATGAAACCTTAGATAAAGAGAAACGCTTACGTCTATGTAAAGGTCCCAACAAGATAATTCCCAATTATAGCCCAATTAAAGCCTGCAGGGGTCTCAGTGATTCAGTTACCATGCTTTCATTTTTGACAAACATTTAAGGAATCACGTCACACAGGCAGAATGTCTTTTTCAGCCTCATCATGGAGAGAGAAAGTGAAGTCTCCAGGGGAACGAGACAGCGAGCTGAGTGAAGCGCCTCATTAAGAGTAAATCACATCAGACTCCTCTTAAGAGCTAACAAGAGCATCACATGGTGCAGAGAAGGTCAGGAGGTCACGATGGACATTAATGAACTCACGACATTGTGAGAATCAGTGCAGAATAGAGCAGCTGTCTCAAGCTCAGATGTGTTCATGTGAGGGCAAACACACATAGACTGGAAGTAGACTTTTAGGTGGAGATATTCAACCATTATGCAAGTTTTACAGACTAGCGCTGCTAAAATTAGATTAAGATTAAATAAATAGACTCCCAGTGAATTCCATTGAGTTATCACATTCTAAAGCCTGCTTTAATAATTACTTTAAAACCAAAATAGTGGCTTGTCATCTAGCAAAAATAATATATGAAGAGTTCAGATGTGCCATCTGAAATTATCATTACAAAATGAAAAATGTTCTAAGCCACCTTTGTTTATGTCAAGATATTTCACTTTAGAGACCAGGAAAATGACTTATTTTTGCAGAAAAAGTGATATTACTGAACATACACACAGGAGCCTGATAAAATGCCTATTTTAGAGGAAGATTTCAGATGGCATTTAAAGGTTTTTGCATCTAAACACTTCATAAATATAAATGTGTGTGTGTGTGTGTGTGTGTGTGTGTGTGTGTGTGTGTGTGTGTGTGTGTGTGTGTGTGTGTGTGTGTGTGTGTGTGTGTGTGTGTATATAATTGCATTACATAGGTCACAAATATACACACATACAGCTTGTTTGATGAAGTGTAATCAGAGTAATTAAATACACAATATGAAATTAAAGGCTAATGTGGCGAAACACAAATTTTGCAACCTTGCATCAAGCACAACAATGTTTTAATCATAGATTATTTCCCCAAATCATGCAGCCCTACAATGTGCCAAAAAAATATAACAAGAATGACCCAAGAATGTCAAAGACACATGGTGCTAGAACTTTTAGACTTTAGAGAAAATATACTGAAGCCCAGTGTGGGATTCTTAAGAGTTCACGCCATAACTACACTGTAAAAAGCAAAGTTCATTCATTCATTTTCTTGTCGGCTTAGTCCCTTTATTAATCCGGGGTCGCCACAGCGGAATGAACCGCCAACTTATCCAGCAAGTTTTTACGCAGCGGATGCCCTTCCAGCTGCAACCCATCTCATCAATCAATCATGTTGACTTAAAACAATTCATAAAACCCACTGTAACTTGAAAGAATTAAGTTGGCTTAATTTATATTTTGGATTATGCACAAAGTTAATTCACTTAATTTTAGGGAAACCAATTTACTTACATTTTTAAGCAGTCAATGAATCACTTCAAAAACTCACAATTAATCAAAGGTGACTATCATGCACATTTTGACAGTAAAGCTGGTTCTATTAAATCTCCAGCATGTGCATTCAGCTATACATTATATAGCTATTATATAACTATACTATATAGTTTACTGAAATAGAGTTTAAGAAACAGAGTTACAATGCAATGTTTTGGGAAATTCCTATGTTTCTTCGTCATGGGCATTTGGAGTTTTCTATGAGAGCGCCATCTGGCCTTTGAAAGATGATTAACTACAGATCAGACCATAATTCCTGACAAGTTGTGCATGACAACTCAATCACATTAGCCATTTAAATCGGATTATTCGCCAAGCCCTAAAGTAAAGTCAACTTTTCCTTTTAAACATTTTTACATATCACCGAAATAGTCATCAGCTGACATGAGCAATATAATTTTGTTTATCCATAATGAACATAGATTTAATATAATAAATTAATTATAGTTTAAATTAATTTTAATAAATCAAACACATTTTTAAAAAGCACACAAAACATCAGGTATTTTGTTGATTACACGACAAATTCAAAGCATTGTGCCAAGGACTATTACTCATGCATTGTATATTGGCTGATGTGCATGTGCCTGAAACACCTTGAGACAAGCACTGATCAATATGCTGCTGATAAACAGCCAAAAAAAGCAGAATGAAAGCATTAAAGGCTTAAAGTAATGGACTTACCCCTTTAACCCCTTTCAGATCTCCCTTCAGCAGACTGTCCAATGGGAAGGTAATGATATTATTCATGTTCTGAAACTAGACATAGAAAGCAGCACATTAGACAAGTGTCTTTCCTCCCAGCTGTGTACCCGTCTTTTATATTGAGGCAATCAGAGATAAACGCAGAAGGCAGAGAGAAAACAAAACTCTCTGTTGCAGCAGGAAAGAAATTAGACCGTTAGGGAGTATTCATGCAAACATGATGTTAGGGGAATTATTAATTAGGCCTGCAAAAAAGAAGAGGAAAACATCCCAAATCATAAATTACACAAAGCCAGACTTTCAGCTTGGATTTTTTGATGCAGAAAGTGCTAAAAGACATTCATGAAAGCTGATTGTAAACCCTTAAAAAACCCTGTAAAGCCACCCTGTAAACCATTGACTCGAGATCAGATTTTGGGCCCAGAGGAGCAAGCACATTAACAGAGGAAATGCGAGATGTTTTAAACCCCTTTTTATGCACTTCCATACCCTCACCAGGTTCTTGAAGAGTGCCGTGAGCTCCTTGGTGAAGACGGAGAACTTCAGGAAGGCTGATCCCAGGTCCGGGTCATCTCTGTACACACAGTTCTCTCCGAACTTCTCCAGAGCTTGAGTGTACTGCTCCTCATTCTCCACATGAGCTGCAAAACAGACAGAACATTAATACAATCAAATAACTCCAGTTGAAAAAAAAAAACTTTCATTTCTAAATACACAAACTAAATGTCAATATATGTATTAACCCTTATGCAGCCATATGAACACATTCAAGGGTGTAGAATTGGCATGAACGGTGGGGATGTATCCCTATCAATATCCACCAATTACTGAAATGTTCCTGCCAATACTTTAATCGACTTCAAAATAAAATAACGCTCCGTCAACCCTTATTGAGCTACTTGTCCACAAATGGTTAAAGTCAAGTTTGCTGTGAGTTCACTTTAATACTATTAACCAAGGCTGTTTAATTAATCGAAATTCAGTTTTGATTTTGGCCTCAATGATTATGAAAAACAATTATTGTTATTGTCACACACCTCTCTAAATTTCTCTTCATTCATACCTCCTCAAAGCCAGATTGCAGTCAAATTATGTACATTGATTTCTGCAGCATGGGATGTGATTGATTTTTATTTTATATTATTAAGTACTTTATGCATGTTTTTAAAAGCGCAAAAACAATTTGTGCAATATATGCGCTCTAGGGATGTATGTCCCCAACAAGAACAAATCTACCTTGGACGCATTATAGTATTTAATTTCATTAAGAGTATTACATTATCCTTTTTTTTTTTGAATGACATCAGACATTCTAAAACTGACAGTGAAATAAATCAAGTAATAAAATCATATATGCAGCCAAACGGTGACACATTTATCATTTTTAATGTTCTGCAAACATATGACAGTTTGACGATATTGTGATTACTGCTCTAAAATATGTTCAAATGTCTGGGTTAAAAAAAGACAATATATTTTATTTTAGGAAACAATCCTCCATTATTTCAAAAACACAGATTCTTTAAAACTTTCAAAACCCATCTTTGGATTTCTGTCTTTTCTTTGGATGTAAATTAAGCCACTGCACTAATCAGGTCTACAGCACTCTAGATGTTGGAGTATAAGCGACTTGGTTTTAAGATATTTAATGAATTGTGGGTGAACCAGTAGCTTTTGATTTGGAGGATCCTTTTGCTGGAGATACTGTTGCCCTAAAAAAAAAAAAAAATTGACAAGTCGTAAAAAACAAAAACTTACATACAGTTGAAGTCAGAATTATTAGCCCCCCTTTGAGTTTTCTTTTGTTTTTTAAATATTTCCCAAATGATGTTTAACAGAGCAAGGAAATTTTCACAGTATGTCTGATAATATTTTTTCTTACATCTTATTCGTTTATTTCGGCTAGAATAAAAGCAGTTATTGTTTTTCTAAACTTCATTTTAAGGACAAAATGAATAGCCCCTTTAAGTTATTATTTTTTTTCGATAGTCTACAGAACAAATCATCATACAATAACTTGCCTAATTATCTTAGCCTGCCTAGTTAACCTAATTAACCTAGTTAAGCCTTTAAATGTCACTTTAAGCTGTATAGAAGTATCTTGAAAAATATCTAGTCAAATATTATTTACTGTCATCATGGCAAAGATAAAATAAATCAGTTATTAGACATGAGTTGCGAAAAATATCATGTTTAGAAATGTGTCAAAAAAACCTTCTCTCCGTTAAACAAAAATTGGGGGGAAAATAAACAAGGGGGCTAATAATTCAAGGGGACTAATAATTCAGGGGGGCTAATAATTCTGACTTCAATTGTATACCTTAGGAACGATATAACAAAAATGTTTGCAGTTTTAAAACCTTGACTTTTTCAAACCCCGGTAAAGCTCAAAACCGGTTATTGTCCCATGCTCAGTGGTGGCTTTTGTCAAAATTTATGGCATGATTTGTTGAATTCCTGTGTTTTGCTGTGAAAATTAGGGCTGTACAGTATTAGAAAAATATGACATTGCAATACTGAATTTCTTTGCAATACATATTGCAATATTGAATATAATTTCATCTGATGAAGTGAATAACTCTAAGAATTGATAATTTGACATTTCATTAGGATGATTAATTTTTTAGAGTGCATCTGCATACAATATAATAAAACAATCACAAGCATTGCTAAAAACAGTAGAGCGAAGACACAAATGGAAAAAAAAAACTTTTTCTAGGAACCAAGCAGTATTTAGACACACAAAATGAATAATCACATGCAAAATAACAGTCTATACACTGAAAAAAAAAAACTAATCATTGGATTTATAACTTTTTAAAAAGGTCATTTATACAGGCTGAATTTAAACAAACAAATTAGGTTGAACATTACAACATTTTGTTGAAGCCCATAAAAAATAATAATTAAAAAAAATTATAAATCCAAAAAATATATATTTTCAGTCTTTTTTCATGTCTTGTGCCTGAATTATTTAAATTGGCTTAAAATGCTTAAACAATCACTGTCCAAATGATAAAAAATTTAGTAACTTAATGTAGGCCTGTCACAATAATCAGTATTTTGATTTATTGCACAACACATGGACATGACCTCAATCATTTTTGGTGATGCAATTCATATTGCCCATAAACACCCAATTCTAGCAACATTTTAGCTGATTGTGCCACATCTCTATCTACTGGAGTTGTCTGTATCAGTATGGTTAAAAAAAATTCTATAGTTACTGTAGTATTTTTCACATGTGTGCCTAACAGCAGAAAATAGATCTAGTAGCAGATTTATTTATTACATTTATTAGTATTTAATTTAGGATATGTGACTATAATTCAATGAAATATTCTTAAGAATATATATGAAGTGTTTTTGTAAAAGTGTACTTGCATTGTGATGATATTATATTGTCATTCTGGCACTATATAATGAGTGGCATAAAATACACATTCCTGGTGCAATATATCATACAGATATCATGACAGGCCAAATTTTATGGTCAAATTTTGCAATGACCCCATAATAACTCGTTTTCAACCATAATACTGCCTCATCATTGCAGATCCTGCGTTGTGACTATTGTGGATGCACACACTGTGATATCGATGCTGAAGTGAAGTTTCATAAACTACTTTCGAGAGGAGCATGTGATATGATTGTGCACCGCTGGCCACTCATCCGTAATCAGTAATAATCCAATCAGAATGATCCTAGCTTAATATAAATGGATCACTTTCTCCTATTGCACTATCTTCGTTTTGGAAGAATCCCCCCTTCCACCCCATCTCCTCCTTTTTCTCCCCTTCTAAAGGGGGAGCGATCGAGACCTACCTGATCTCAGTTCTCCTGATATGCTTCTAGACTGGGCGGGAGCCCTGGGCTCAAATATCTCCAAGCTCAGGGTTCTCTCCCGGGACAGCATGCCAAACCTGCTATAAGTGCCAAGCATATCTAAGTGGGAAATCTTGAAACAATATTCTGTGCAGTTCTAGTGAAGATATACAATGTTGTCTTTTTTTAATCTCAAGAAGACAAGAACCACTGGACTCACAAATCCTGGAGGGATAATAATAATAAGAATAATAATCTACACCTTGGATAGCCTGAGGCTGTGAGTAAATGAACACAATTTTATTTATTTTTTTTTTGGCTGAACTACTGAACGTGTTAAACCAAGCTCCTCTTATTGGATTGAAATGACATTAGAGTTCTTAAATAATGGCAAGATTTATTTTTGGACGAGATATTGCTTTAACATTCCTTGCAGCTGCCGTATCATGTTTGTTCCCCCTCTACTTATTTTCCTTTCCTACTGCGGGTTTCTTTCCTCCTGATTGTGTTGTGTTGTGCTCCAGCATTATCAGTTACAGTCCATACTCATATCACCCCATGGACACACAATATCATCTATTTATTGTTCTAAAGAGCAGTTTCAACATTCTGTTCATTGTTACTGTACGACAAGACAAAAAGTCCCTGATAGGGCCTGTTGGAAACTTAAACAAATCCGAAAAGCCAGAACTTCCTCTTAATTTCAGCAAATCCCCTATCATTGTGCACTCCAGGGACGAAGCACAAAAGATGGAAAACAAGCAAGCGTGTAATTCACTCACACAGTAATGTTGCAAACTCCCCATGGTTTTTCTGCAGGGAAAATGTGTAATTTACAAGTACAGACCTGTCACAAAGTGTTGGGATGCTAGTCAGTGTGCAACACTGTTTATAATCAACACCTGGAGATTTTTGAGAGTCCCTCATGGATGACCTTCTTCCCACAACTAGTTAACGCAATTTCTTCACACAAAGATTCCTACTAAGAATATCCACAGATTATTATTACACTGTCAATGTTGTCTTATGAATAATGCATGCCTGATTTGTTTTCGTGCACAGGGATACAAAAAGGTATAGAGTTAAAAGAAACACTGCACTGCAGAAACACTGAGAAAGATTGCATGGATTGAGAAAACCAGCACAAGCCAGTTTTAGTACAATCGGCCCAACATTACATGCTCATTTATAGTTACTCATAAATATATCCTAACTGTGAAGTGCATCCAAGTTTATTATAATAGGTGATGGTATTGAATTGTAAAAAATGTTTTACAGCTTTTAAGTAGGGTAAAACATCTCTACATTAAATGCAAAACACAAAATGTTTAAATAAATATAAAGGAGCTGAACACATCAATCATGAAGAGTACAAAGTGAACTTGTGCAGGTGTCAACATTAAACTAACAAAAATAAATTAAATTAAATTAAATTAAATTAAATTAAATTATGGTTAAAAGATGAAGCAATATGCACTGACAATTTAAAAACAAAAAATTATTTTATTTAAAAATTTACATTTAATTTAGCATAAAACTTGCATACAATTAGCATTTAATAAAATTATATAAAGAAAACAAAAATGAAATGAAACTTTTTTCCAAAATTATGACTGAATACATTCAGCCAAAACCTAGAAGATGAAACAATAAAAGATGAAGTAATATGCACAGACTATTTAAGACAATATTTTACTCAAATTTATTGTAGTCTATTCTAATTTATATTTTATTTTTTATAAAAATTTGTATTGCATATTTTATTTGATTTTATATGTTATTTATTGCAAATTTACTTCAATCTTTCAAAAAACAA